ATTAAAAATCCAAAAAAAAAATAGTGTTATTTCTGTTTTATTTCTTTTTCAGAAAATATGAAAAATACAAAAATATTGTATGCTAAGTTTTCTTTTAGTTTTGTTTTGTCTTGAAAAGTGAATTCAGATGTAGATGAGACTCGTGGAGACTGTATCGAGATTTCTGAGCCAAGGCTTCATCCGTGAGCATCAAAGAATTCTCATTCGAAGGAGCAAGAAGTGAAGATTATTCTTTCAACATTCAATCATTCAACCCAGAAGCAAGGTCAAGCTGTTCTTGAAGATTATGTGACAGATTGCATTGAAGCCTCCTCAATCAGTCTGCTGCTATCTATGAACCTGCTGAAGTGATCCAGAAGATTAGATTTCTCTATTGTTCTCTCTGAAGATTCTCAAGCTGAAAGCGCTATCTATCAAGAATCAGTACATCAAGCCTCCTCACCCGACGTGCGTTCAATGCCAAATTCTAAAGAAAAGCCCAACTTCTCAAGATGAAGTCATTCATTGAAGATTCATCAAGTTTATCTTGAAGTTGTGAAGAATTTGAAGATTAATGCTGAAGCCAAGCTCCCGATGAAGATTGACAAGAAAAGCCAGCTACTTTTTAGGGGGAGTTTGTTGGGTCAGTTAGCAAAGAAACCTATAAACCAAGGGGAGATTGTTGGGTCTAAATTTGGTTTATACTTTGCTTTTCTAGGAAAATATATTTTTATGTAGTTTTTATGTATTTCTGTACAGCCGTACTCCTGTGTACGGCCATACACCGGTGTACGGTTGGTGATCCTATATGTAAGGTGAGGAGTGCATGTGTAAGGCTAGAAAAGGAGAGCATATTGTAGAGAGAGAAACTAGAGAGAAGAGAGGAGATTTAGTGTGTGTTAGTGTGTGTGAATCTTGTATCTGGATCTTCATTCTAATCAATTCATACAAGATTCATCATCTTCTTCTTCTCCTCCTTCTTCATTAGATCTGGCATCATCCGTTTGATTGGGATTTCGCACCATCAAACGGATCTGATTTATACACAAGCAGATCTAGGACGTTACACTCTCTCACTCAAGAAGGTGCACAGCTCAAACTAGGGTTTCTCTGGCTGTAGGAACGATGGAAGTGGTTGCAAATGAGCTATAAGTTCTTAAAAGAGGGTACAAACCCCTGAAAATTAGGGTTTCTCTTTACAGTGCCTACTCGTCGAGTCGGGGCCTTCCGACTCGTCGAGTAGATCCGAAGTCCCGCGTCCTCATAGTAACCTCTACTCGACGAGTTGGAGCTCCCTAACTCGCTGAGTCCAAGCACAAAACCCTAAAAACTTAGATAATTTAAATGATACCTGGAACAGGTCTTACAATTTTTTACTTGAAAATAGACTAGTGATTATATATTAGGGTTATTGGCACCAAAACACCCCCATAAACTATGACTTTCATGTTTAAATGGTCACCGAAGTAAATTTCTTAGACCATTAAAGTAAAAAAAAAAACTAACATGTCACTTATACAATTTTGTGATTAAAATGCTCACTAAAGCGAATTTCATCGCAAATAAAAGTTTTGGACTCCTTAAAATGATAGACATTAGACAGTCACCCCTAGGCCGATCCATTTTTTGTAATTTAAAGAAAAAAAAAGACAAAACTAATAATGATTGAGTCATGAGGCGTCGCAAGCAAACAATTTTGAAGTTTGTTGTATATCATCAAACGGATTGATGGTGATTATTATAGTATTTAGTTTTTGCATTCAAAATAAGAAGAATGAAGGGCATCAAAGTGGTTAACCATTATTTGTTGTTTTTGTAATAGAATGCATCAGCCAAGAAGACGAAACAGACAAAGACTCTGCAACAGAATACACCAGCCAATAAGTCTAATCCATCTAGAGCCGGAAATGAGGGTAAGAATAGTTATATCAAGTGTAACCAATGAGGGAGAAATCACCAATGGGAGTGCCTATTGAGGACATGAGGATGTTTTAAGTGTGAAACGGTAGGCCATACGAGCAAGAATGTCAAGGAAATAGCGAACTTGTGTTTCAATTGCCACATGTACGTGCATTTCAAGTCGGATTGCCCCAAGTTGGTTGACGAGGTAGTTCAATCCCCTGCTCCCACGACTCTAATAATCACTGATGAGGGATTGAATAAGAAGGTTGAGGTCCCGAGGACCCAAAGGAATGTTTTTTCAACTCATGAAAAAATCAAGGCTATATCAGACATGGTTGATAATAATATAATTGTTTTGACATGTCCCATATATGTTATAATATATATATATATATATATATATATATATATATATATATATATATATATATATATATATATATATATATGGCCACGTACTTTTCTTGTTAACTTAGTATCAGTGTTAGTATTGTTTTATTTAGGGGAAAGCTACTCCTTTGTGTCTCTTGATTTCGATAAGAAATTCAATCTTATGTTGAAAATGTTAGAACGACCTCTAGTGGTGGAAATAGAAGAAGATATGATGATAAATGTGTCCATCGTGTTTAAAGAGTGTGTGATACAAATATTCGATGTGAAATTTCTCATGTGAATCTTATTCCTATATTGATGAGGGAAATTAGTGTTGTTGTGGGTATGGATGTTGGATATAAGTGTCCATTGTCATAACTATTTGGTATAACTTTGGGAATAATAACAAGGTCCATTTAGGATTAGCCTCATGAGCTAAAAGAGTTTGAAATAATTTAAGAAAGATGGATAGAGAGAGAGAGAGAGAGAGAGAGAGAGAGAGAGAGAGAGAGAGAGATAGTTTATTAATTTTTCATAGCTTGTTAAATTAATTAGAAAATAGCTTAGGTGATTTGGAATTAATTGAAATTAGTTAGAATTAATTTTATATTAATTACAAATATAGAAACGGGATTGTAATTATTCAATAGTTGTAAATAGACCCTCCCGGCCTCATAATTTATGTCCCTTGTTCCTTGCATCTATGGATTTGAGTTTGACAATTCTTTTCTCTCTTCTTAAAAGTTCAAGTTCTAGAATTTAGTCTCTTGGGTGTGACACTTTTGAGACATTCTTCTTTGGGTGCTCAACCTTTCTCAAGCATCAAGAAATCGACCCAAGGGATCTTCAAATTAGCAAATTCGATTTTTCTATAAGGTTGGTATTTATTGACTATCTTTGTTATTCATATTATTAGATTAGTATTCATTGTAGCATTTAGATCTTAACTTTCCTTAGAGTAAATTTTAATTTCCTCTGTTGCCTAGTATTTATTCTATTGTTATTATTAGTAAAACCTATCATTCGTATCAGTGTCATTAGCCTATGAGATGTACACTTGATTTTGAAATTCTTAAAGATTGAATGCTTAAATTCAAAGGTTTCCAAGAACACCAAGAACTGAAAGAATTTTCGATGGAGCCTTATGGTTTTCGAAAATTCAAGGGTTTTTTGGAGTTTTAAAAAACATGAATATGTTGAGAATTCAAAACTATATCTGATTTAGTTTCCTAAAAAATCTGGATTTGAAAGATTCAAAAATTAAATTGATTAATCATATTTGATAAGTTTAAATTTAATTAATATTAGATTTAGTTAAAAGATCAAATTTAAAATATGATTCAATTTTGACATGCGTATATATAGATAATTCTTAAAACTTGGTTAATAGACAATTATTGGTAAATATACATGTAAACCCTAATTAGAATTAATATGTTTAAAGCTTGTAATTTTAAATTGTTTAAACCACCCCACATAATTTGATATATATATATATATATATATATATATATATATATATATATATATATATATATATATATTATATATATAACTGGTTTAAAATTAATTAATTAAAAGTTAATGAGAATTACTATGTTTAAACCTTGTAACTTTAAATTGTTTAAAATACATCCTACTTATAATTATAATTGTTTATATATAGTATAGACTTAGGTTATTGTATTCTAACTAATTATTTTGTGGATGTTGGAATGATTGTGGACCAATCATTTTAGTTCATTTCCATTACTTTCAAATTAGGAAACACAATTTTAAAAATAAAATTTTCGGATTTGAAAGGATTGTTGATTATCATAATTTTGAATTCTGGTTTTTTAATTAATTCAATTTTAAATCTATCAAAATGTTATTCTATTAAAATGATGTTTTATTATGATGTTTTGTTAGAATTTTATTCTATTAGAATATTAATAAAGAATAACAAAATCCTTGGACCTGAAATTGAATAATAATAACATTCTAATATATTCATATACATCCGAACTTAAATACAAATTCATAAATATTCTTACAGACTGATACATTTTAATATAATTGTACATATTCTAACAGAATGTCATCAAAATGAATAAAATTCTTAAGAATAGCATTCTCACTTATACAATTACTGAACAAATACACTTAATCTTCTTCAATGGCCCAAATAATCGAATTATTTACACTTAATCTTCTTTAATGTAACTTGTTATTGACCTCAATTCCAAGTTTTTCTCTTGTATGATCAATCCTTGATTCCTTCTTAAAGCCATTCTAAAATAATAATTCATTACCAAATGAAAAAGAAAAAACTAAATTCCTTTGTACAAATCTGCAGATTTGTGAATTGCATCAAAACTCATAACCAAGAATTGTTGAAAATACAAAAATCATAGAGGAAATATCGAGATTTCATTCCGATAGAATCGGAATTCGAGATTCTATTCCGAGATAATTGAAATTCAAGATTCAATTCTGGCAGAATTACCCTCACATTATGATCATTGAAAACATTATGAGCATCACAAGCAATTCCCACTCCAACGTGTTCATAAAAATCTAATTAGATTCAACAATTAGGGTTTACAAGTTACAACATTAACATACCTTCACAAATTTAGAATCCCCAAGAATAGACTTTAAACTTTTAGGGAATCCAGAATGAATAATATGCATTACATGAAAACTTGCAGCATCTGCACATATCTGTAGAACTGCAGCCTTCCCTTGTTTTACACTTTCATGATTCAATAAGTAAAAATATGTGAAAAGTTATAAGAAGGATATTGAGTTTTGATAGGATTATAGGAACATTTCTTGAAATATGGTCTCCATTCAACGTCAAATCCAATAATAGCACGACCTCCATATTTTTTCTTGAGTTCAACAAACTTTAAGAGCTCATATGCAGCTTTTTCCACCTCTGGGAATGTTCTATTGTACACACTATGACCTTGAAATGCCATTGCAGGGTACCTCATCATTATGTTATCTGAAACAGGAATCACAAAGAAGACGCTTATAAGTTAGTGATACTTCAAATCCATAAAATTAGTTGAATTATACAGATCCGTTATCTTAATCCTAATTCCTTAGTCATTTCATCATTTCTATTCCCGATTACAGTGGCAATAATGCCCAAAAGCTTGAATTTCTCTATTAACAATTTCCTTGGTTCCTTGTGGTAATGCGAGAAACAATATACATTTGTTGACAGATACATTACAACATAGCTAATTCAAAAATAATTTACAAAGTGAAGTAGATTACCACGATTGGAAGAATCACTCGGGTTAGAAAACCAATTTCTACCGCAAGGCAATAACAAGATCGAACTTGAAGGACCAACTAAAGAGTTGTTAAATGACAATGCAGACCGTGTAAACAAAGAATCAAGCAATCTCCGACGAGTTCTCGGATGATCTCTATCGCAATTGGTGACAAATTTCTTAGTCGAGGAAGAAGAAGTGGCGGATTCAATAGCAGAGTCAATTGACTGAAGCTCGTCGGTGAAATCCAGATCCCAGTCTGAGCTGACGCTAACAGTAGATGATTTTTGAATTAGGTCATTTTTGGGGATTTCCATGAATAGGGTGAGCCACCGCCATTGTTGTGCACATGCCACCTGGGAAAAAGAGCGAGAGGGTTATAATGATTTTCATCGGAGATTGTAAATGGTTTTTGGTGGTCAACAGGATGTAAAAATATTTCATTTCAGTCTACGATCGAACCAGATTCAACTTTGGTGTCGCTCGAGTATTCTATATTTGGTGTTAGGAGGAGGTGAGTGTGATTGGTAGTAGACAGAGGAAGCACTGGCGAGGAAGATGATGAATTGGTGACGAAGACAAAGAGGAAGGCAACTGACGAGGTAGAGGAAGAAAGAGGTCAATTTTAGTTCACCGGGCGTTGATTTTGGAGGCGGATTTTAATAGGGTTAATAAGAAACTGATCCATGAAATAAAGGGTTATCACAAGTTAATTTGGGATATTAATTAATATATTTGTAATATTACTAATTTATCATTATTTATTTATTTAATTATTTTTTTTGAAATTTTAATTGGCCTACAATCAATCCTACATCCATACAATATTTAGTTAGAATATTTGAACCTACCTCATATAGTATATGTATAGCTAAAACCATAAATACATTGTTATTCGAATCAAAAGTAGGCCTCATTCATGAGACCATGCTATAAGAGATGTACAAGGAAACAACAAATAAAATGACCGTTGAATGACTGTCCTTCTCATTCACAACTTCTTTATGTGGTTGATTGTCGTTATCCGAAATGTTTGATAGGACGGTGTCTCGTTAAAATTATAACATATAAAGTACTAAAATAAAATTCTCGTCTTAGTTATATTATGAAATGTGAATAGTTGCTAATCCATGAAAGTCGCACATTATTCCTTACTGTCTATTTATGGAGTATGTGTGGGCAACCGACGCATAAATTTGAGACATAGGAAGATGATGATGTGGCACTCGTGGCTATGGTTTGTTGGCGAGTGTGTGTTGGTAACTGACATGTCAACTTGAGACCATAATATAATAAAGGGGTCATGCGGGTTTTGCATGGTTGGTTCACCATCTTTTTTATGAGACCTGAGTATCCAAGGCACAAATAGAAGATGTTCAATCCAAGATTAACATGCCAATTAAATTGTTTTAATGAATATAAAAAGATTCAGGAATTTCATAAAGATTGAAATTGATAAATTGTATTATCTACCTAAAATGAATTCATGATATGATTAAGGTATCCCTCTTCATAAATTGAATCTAAAATATGGATCATAGCTCTAATATAAATTGGGTAATTATTTAAGGATTGAATCAACTAACTGAACAATCTTTCTTAATTTACATGTTCGGTCTTGATGGAAATCCTCTCCCACTTCCTCCCACACCTACAAATTCGAACTTATCCCTGCTCTCAATTCTCTAATTGGAAAAGCACACTGGAAGAGCAACCTAACTCGATTGGATGTGAAACCTTAGGATAACCCTAAGGTATGATAATCATGAGTATGTTCTCGATGATCCCATTCCCAACATCGATGAGTTCTCTAATGAGGAAGAAAAGTTTTCTAACTGTAAATTCTTTGAAGACTCAAATAAGGTTTCTTGCATTATGATCGCCTCAATGTTCTTAGATCTCCAAAAATCTTTCGAGAACACTTGGTCATATGAGTGAACTTGCAGTTGGCTGAAATGTTTCAATAAAGGGAAATGAATAATGCGGAGTTCTCAGATCCCTAACTGATGGGTTTTATAGAATACAAAATCATGTACAATGTAGAAAACACTTAACAATTAAGAGGGTACATGCATCCTATAAATGTTCTATGTCATAACACTTTAAAGGCGACATACTATGAACAACAAAACTAGCATAAAACCTAATGAAATTGAAACCATGGGATTATGTTTACATACCTTTGATTTGTTGTAGTAAACAAATTACTTCAATCCCTTGTAGTTGTTGGACTTGGAAAGCTTAACACCAAAAGGATGATGCCTCTAATGGCTAACACCCAAAACCTAGAACTAGAAGACAAAAGAAGAGAGGAAATAGGATATTTTGCCCATAATATCCTTAAGGGAGTCATATGAACGAAAATTTGTTGATACATGAAAGTGAACCTCTAGCAATCCGAAGCCCAGCCAAAACCAAAGTCAAGTGCATTCCGAGATATGATGTGTTCCGAAGTGAAACTACTTCCGAACTGAAGACAAGTCAGAGAAATACCTTGCAGTCAGTGCTATTTTGGGTATGTATTAGCATTTAATGTTTCTTGTCTTTTATTCTTTTTTCTATTGTAAAGTTCAGGGGACAAGATCGAGAAAATCCTGAGTGTCATCTTTTTGACTTTTCAGCTTTACATAGTTCATGCAGTCTTGTCAGTTTGTCTTTTTATCACTCCTTATCTATTTAAGGAGAAGTAATTTCCATGCAATGTAGCACTTGAGGAAAATTATCTTTCACATCAATAATAAGTATCTTGGTCAAATAATTCTCTCTATCACTCTCATTGTTCATAAATTATCTTTACTTTGTTCATACTCACTCTTACATACTTGAATACATTGTTGAACTTCTTATTTCAAGACAAGACTGTTTTACCAGACTTGACTTGACTCTTAATATTAGCAACGGACATTGATCTTAAGTTAATTCAAGGTTTGAGATTTCAAACCTTGTCCACACACAACTTTTTACACTCTCAATTGGTATCAGAGCCTAAGTAGTTGTCCTTTGAATCGATAAGAACATATTATAGTTGATTGGAGATACCATGGTATCTCATTTAATTCTGTGTTCAGGATAAAAGTTCTTATATATACCACTTCATCTCTAATACTTTAAATTCAATGGCTGATCCTAATCCAACTCAACAAATGTATCCAATGCAAATAGCAAATAGCATGGGTTACCTAACGCGTGCCCTATTGCTAGTTGTTGAAGAGTAGGATGACTGGATAGTTTGAATGGAGAGATTTTTACTTGGTAAGGAAAAAGGTGAAGAGATGTGGAGGTCTGTGAAAGAAGATCCTCATGTTCTCGTAAGACAAATGGTCAGATATGTTGCTACTACTCTCATGGGTCAAGAAGAACAACGTCCAGCACCTCTAACTACAACAGACATCGAAAAGCTTCATGCAGATCATGTTGCGTTCTTGGAAATGGTTTTTGGGGTTCCTCATTCTCTCTTTGAGCACATTAAGTTGTGCAAATCTGCCAAAGAGATTTGAGATACACTTCAACACTTGTTCGAAGGTTATAAGAACATGAAGGATAAGCATTTAACATTTGTTGTGAATGACTTTAATACTTTCACTATAACTCCCGGTGAATCTGTAGACTCTGCATCAAATCGGTACAGAATCGTTGTGAGCAACATTACTGCAAATGGAATAGTCTAAAATCCACTCGAGTACAATCTGAAGTTCATCAACAGCCTCAGAAAGGATGGGGAAACGTTAAGTCATGTCTTCAGAGTAATGGATCTCTGAAGAAACTGAAGCTCTATCAGTTATTTAACAAACTACAAGCCCATGAATCTAATGTTGCTCAAACATTAAGAGAACTCTCAGGAGGTCCTCTCGGCTTAGTGAGTTCTGTTAACCCACTGATTCTGAGCCAATCCATTTCAGATCCTTCTGGAACTATCGCACCTGTTTCATCTGCTCAACCAACACTTCTTACCCCACCTATTCCACCTATTCCGAACCATTCATTTGAAGAAAACCTTGAGCTTGATTCATCTGATTCCAAAATTCGTTTCCAGCAGCAATTCTAACTTTTGTCTATGAAGTACAAATGTCTCTGGAATCCCAGTCAGAAACCTTTTCAAAACCAATTTCAAGCTCCTCATCAAAGCAATCCTCAACCCTTCCCTAAACCTTCAGAAAATCCATCGGCATACCGACCCAACATCCCAAATCACTCCTCGGAACCCCAAGAAGTTCCGAAATCAGTCAAACCCAAGATTGTTTTTCTGAAATGTGGTCTCGGAAACCACTTTGCAAAAGACTATTTGGCTGAAACTTCTCAAAAAACGAAGGTAAAAGACTCTGCCTGCTATGCTCGTGGAGCACAAGAACTTACTAAAAGTAAAAAGGCGTTTGTTACCAAGGTGTCGAGAAATATTGATGGGTACTGCTCTTCTGGTGATGAGGGTGAAGAAAAATCTGGAAGGAACATGTGTCTTATGGAAAGACAATCGATTCATTATGATGAAGGCTACTAGTCTTTGGGTTCATAAGAAGACGATGACGAAGTTAAAGCAAACTTCTGCTACATGGGAACAAACGAACCACCTAGAAGAAGCATCATCCAGCAGGTAAAATCCATGATCACTGAAAATAATTTTGATTTATCTGTTTGTGAACCCTATCTAACTCAGATTCAATTAGATATGACAGTTATTCATAGAGCCTATGAGTCTGCCATAGAAGTTATTGATAAGCTGGATAGTGAATTGACTCGTCTTAGATTACGCTTTGAAGACCGCAAGCTTAAGATAGAATTACTAGAGAGAGAACTTGTAATGACTAAGGATGAATGTATCATTTCGAAAGACAAATGTGAAATCACTTTTTGTGAAAGGAATATCTTAGTTACTAATAACAAATGTCTTAATGCCAAAATTGATGACTTGCGTAACTCTATTTATATTCTTGAAGAAAATGAACGGATGACAAATAATTTTCTTCACCCATGGTCTAAAGCACTAGGTCTCGGAAGCGAGTTTCTAAAGCCTGTTGTTCGTCCCTTGAAGGAACTTCAGAATCTAACATTTATGGGAGACATTCTGAACCATACTTATTCGGATACCCATGTCTCACCTTTGTCGTCACTGACTGAGACTTCAGACAAGTTTCAATCTCTGATTCCTGAGTTCAAATCTATCACTGTTAAATGTCCCGATTTCACGCCTCTTCCGGCTCTGATATCCCTGGACCTGAATCGGTCTTCGGAATCCTTTCCTGACACCGGCTATACTAGATTTCAGTTTCTGAACTCTGGTCCACCGAATAATTGTGTTATTGAGTAATTATTCCCGAGACAA